GCAAGTTATACGGAGCTGAAGGACATCAACATCCGTGAGCTTCGGAAATCAGAGTGAAAGGTGTTTTCATCCCATCTCGATAGAAAATGATAAAAACAACAAGCCGGACTGAAAAATATTTTCTATGTTTCCGTAGTGCAAGAGGCATTGTTTTTATGGGTTGTAACTAGGGGCCTACATCATTAAGTGAATATGGTCATGATTATTATTGAGTTGAATTATTCACAGACTACCCGCTGAGGTTAGAAGTTTGTCCGTTAGCTTTGAACGGAGTTGGAACAATAAAATGTTTTTGTTTTACGTTCGTTGGGGCTAAATGAAGACGTAACCTTGCTTTAGTCAGTTTAGCTTCATGTCGTCATGTTAACAGCTGCAAATTTAAAGTTGCAAGAAAATTCTTCAACGCCAACTATTCACTGACGCATTTGGAAACGCTGTAAAACTAAACGCACGTACAAAATCGTACAGAGCGGCTACGAATTGTTAATATTTGCTTCTTACAATATTTCTTTGGTCGGTTCACCGAGATTGTTTTTAAGGTGGATGTTGAAGCTCTCGAAACGGTAATTAGATGTGTTTCATACAGGTTGCTCAAGATTAATGATGACTTATGAAACTAAACTGACGAGAAACTGTGTTGTCTTGTGACAACATGCTTGAATTCTAATGCAGCGATTGATTATAATAGAGAAAATTTCAAGAACAAAGCGCGTTGAAAATACTAGTCCGAAGAGACCAGCAATGTACTGAAAAATAGCTTGCGAATGAGAACTGGAACGAAAAAGGATTTGCAAAGCATTATATCATAGTGGAACACTTTCAAGTCGGTTAAAAAATTGTCAAGACGCTTGGTATTTTTAAATTGTTTCAAACTTCAAATTAAAACAAACGGAGTTAAGGAAAAACAAGGGAAATAAAATCAAATAAGTAAAATCTTTAACAATTTTAAGACTGCAAATCATGTGAAATCCTTGAACTATTTAAAGTTTTGTTAGTCTAGTTTAGTAAAAGAAAAATAGACTGAGGAAACGAAAAAACAAACTTAATACACTGCACAGGGCCGTTATATACAGGTTTGACTGTATTTTTTTATGCTTAAGAATAGCTTCAAATTAACACCAGGGAGGCTTTCCTAATGAAATTAACCGATCATAGTGTCCATCTTGTCCACAAAGCCTGTCGTTTCCTTTCGTCACGTGGTCTTGAAATGAGGGGTCCGTCTCAAATTAAGCCGAGTGGCTCTGGGGACGAGAATGATCATTTTCAGCCCATCTTGCCAATTACTTAATTACTCCGAAAACTTGAAGATTATGAGCATTTTTTGGGGAATTCACGAGGGAATCATGAATGAAAACTTTATTCATGAGGAAGTATTTAGCTATACAGCTAATGGGAGATACAGACTATCTAGTACATACATTATAAGTATCCCTAATTAAAAAGAAATCAAAATAAAAAATAAATAAATAAATTGGGTATATGGCATTCTTGAAATCTTCCTAATACTAAAATTGTAGACCCTATTACATACACATTTACTTTCTAAAGTCGGATTACGACTGTACCGGGGATATATATGCATTAGTTTATTAGTCCGGATAAGTCGACTTTCCTTATTTTGAAAGAATTTGACTTTCGGCAGTTCTTAGTTTTCTGGAAACTTGGACCAAGTAAGACGGAGGCCCCAAGTATTCATACTAACGACTATTTGGGTTAGTGAATTTCGCCCAATAATTACATGGAACCTTTCTTTTTAATTCCAGATCATTTTCCCAATTCATCAGTACCTCTCTGTAAGCACAACTAGCTAAGAGAGATGTACGGTGTAAACAACTGCGAAGATGAACCTCTGGTAACGACAGCTGGGGCGACAAAACAAGCTAATAAACTGGTGTACTTAACAGGGGCTATCCTTTTTGCAGCCTGTATTATAGCCTCTTTAGCTCTGGCTATTACTGTAGCTGTTATTTTTTACGAAAATCGAGATAACGAATTGAAGAATTCAACGGCAGTAAATGCTGCGACGGGTAAGCCTTCTACTGAGTGTCATTTCAGAGTTTTACAATCTGGAACATTGATATTTACTAATTATTTATTTAAACGAAGGACCCTGAAAGTCCATTTCACGATGACGTCATTTTACCACGAGGCCTACTATATGTATTTACGACCAAAATCCTTTAAAGTTTTGCTTGATCGTGCAATTAATACAGAGGAGAAGTGTGAAGTCACATTACCATGGTAGCAAAATTATCTTTCTTGAAAGTGACGGCCATTTCCATTGTCGAGCTATGAAAGAAAAGTGAAAGTCCAAAGTTTTGTTCCTGAGTGCAATCATGCAAAGGAAAGTCATTAACGTTTTTTTTTCCCTGCGGTACTTGCATGGGAACGTACTCGTAATGACTTCTTCTCCCTATTCAGTCTTTTGTTATTTCCAAGGAAAAACGAAAAGGATCGTGGTCGTAGTAGTCAAATGACGCCATCGTGCAAACGGCCTATGGATAAAAGTTGCGACAAAAAAAATTGAACTCAAAGGCCGCTGGCAACACCGGGACAGCATCGAGGTACTGTAACTACTGACCTTGTCAGTAGCCCATATATGGGGCTCCTGCCTTGAACCTTAAAAAAATGACTGCTTTTGCTTATCCTACAACGCAAAAAAAGTCAACAGCTAGCATTCGGCGGATATGGAAAAAAATGACAAGGTTGAAGGTTACTTAACCTTTTGCGGGACTCAATGGCGAAAAACGTTTACCCTAAACTCATTCTAAAAGTCCAAACGTAAAGTGGAAAGTTACAACAATAAAAAATATAGAAGTCCGTTGTCCAATAGCCTCCCACGCAGACACGTGAGATTGTATATGCCAGTCTCACTTAGGATAATCAGAGGCCGGAAATCCCGGGGGAGGTACTCGATATATCCCTGGGTGGGGAGGTACAGGGCGGCCCCTCATACCCTGACCCTGTTTAAGACAAATATCGCTGATTTTCCTACCCTGTTTAAGACAGAATTCCCATTTTTGATACCCTGTTTTAGAGCTTGTAAAAATTTTGCTGTTTATCATCCAAGAAAAGATATCCTGTTTAAGACAAAAATTGATAAATCGATACCCTCATTAAGACAAAAAATGATAAATTCGATACCCTGTTTAAGACAAAAATCCCGAAAAACATACCCTGGCTGGCCGCACGTCCCCATTAAGCCCTTAAAAGGGAGTACCCCCCCGGCCGGAAATCCATTATTTTTACCATGAAGGTATCGCAAAGGGTTGTGCGTAGAAAAAATATCTGAATATAAAGAAAACAAAGCAGTTATACTGCAGTGCCGGAATAAGGTATCCAGTCTGGGTCAGGGCGGATAAAGGTTGGGCGGTGAAACGAGCGCGTCCGAGCAAAAAGGTGTGATGCAGTGAACTGGGACTCTGCTTAGAGATGACGCTTGTTTTCGACTTCTGTCAGGGCTCGCGATGTGGTTTGTACATTAGACACTGCCGCTTGATTTGTTTTCTGGCACTTCTTCCTCGTTCCTTTGTGCTGGTACGCTGTCTCCGAGAGGCAAATGTTGCTATTTTTCGCGGGAGGTTTAGTTGGAGTAGACAAACATCTCTTTCAAAGGGTTTCTTTTATTACTTCCATGACTCTACCACTAAATTATATTTTCGTTCTGCTACTCGCAAATGTCGATGTTATTCCAAAACAAAAACAACTAAGTACTGTCTCCTGTCTAAAACACAAAGGAAAATCTCATCCATGTCATCCATGGCAAAACTAAAAGACAGCAGATCGTGTTTCATAACTAAATGACGTGTATTTTATAAATGCGTGCAGCTCGTGCAAGGTGAAATTATGCTAATTTTAATCACCATCATCCTTCTTTTTAATTTTGAAAAAAAACATCTCATACGTCTTTTTGTTTCTTCGAAACTTCAAAATTAGTTTCCCCTCAGTTTTTACTGTTTACCTTGTTCTGTGTTAGAGAGAAAAACGGAGAAAAAACCTTACAACTAACCTCAATAAATTTTGTTTTCATGCGGTTGCCGGATTTGCAACGCATTGCGCGAATCGCCATGGCGCGTTGCACCCGAGAAGCAAAGTTTGAAGGAGTACAACGCCACTATATCAATATATATCAATCTAATTTTTTGTTATGTTATATAAAATTTATCCCCTTTTAACATATGTAAAAATTGAGGTTAAGAAGTGTTAAGCTTTTGTAAACGAACCGGCGAAAGACGATTAGGTGATATTTAGTAGAAGGAGGAGGTATTCAACACTTTCAAATTAAACTCAAATTTTGGCATTATACGACCAACAAGTTTGACTTATAGACGTACAGACAAAAACATATGAAACTGTTTATTGATATTGTTATGAAACGAATTTATCTATTTAACATTGTAGCCTGAAATTACAGAAAGAAAATAGGATTTCCGGTTTGCAAAAAGGAAAATTTCGCCGGCCTTCAAGCGCACCGGAAGCGCGGAAAGAGCGCTCGTGCCAGTCCTACTCCGCATCACACATTAAATGAAGAGCGGAGCGCTCGTTTCACCGCCCAACCTTTATCCGCCCTGGTCTGGGTTTAAACAAAACCAGTGCGCCACTGTAAGTTGAGGTATTACGTACATGTGTTCTTTCAATTGACAAAAAGAAAAATTGACAGGCAATTTAAAGGAATTTAGCCTTTTCGGTTACAACTTGGTGTCACGGAGCACGAATGTATGCTAATTAGTAGATGTGGATTCATCATGCTTTCGTAGTTACAGTCGTTGCACGGTTTCGTGGTTTTATGGTTATATTCAGTATGGACATTTGCAACTACTAATTAGCATAAATTCTTGGTTTAGTAACACCATCTTTTTCACTCTCTCAAATATTCGTTTTTCTTTCCGTGCTAGGCATTGACGAATGTGCTAACAACGACCACACATGTCATGTCAATGCGTCATGTTACAACACCGAAGCGTTTCATTTATGCGTCTGTAAGCGTGGATTCTACGGAAATGGGACTTGGTGTACTGGTAAGTAACAAATTCATGAAATGCCAGGGGAATCCGCATTCCGGTACATGTTTTCTTGTCGAATCCGGAATCCGGGAAATTTCTCTTTTGGAAACTGGAATCGTCATGACCCGGGGGGTATGTGCCGCTGGCCTCTCGGAGCCCCTACCCCATTAGAGTCCATTCTGTGGCCAATTATATGATTGCCTTTTTCCCGAGAAATATACAGTGAAAAAACTATATTTCTAATACTAAACTAGAAAAAGGTGATCATTATTACATCCAAACACGGCACAAGGATCTTTTTTCCCATTACAATCTTATTCTAAGAAAACTTTAAGAAAAAATGTCCCGAAAAGCGCTCGAAAATACAAACGAAATGTGCTCATTTTCCCTGGGCATCCTATAATACTCCTTAAATCGAATTAATTCAATATGGCTGCCGTATCGGTAAAAAGGTCTATTTAGCCAGATGCTCGGGCTGCTTAACAACGGCTCGCTGAACGGCAAGCCATTCAAGCGTTCATTCAGATCACAAAACTTTGGGTGTGATCGGGCGAAGCCTTCTTAGGTTAATTCAAACGCCTTTAAGTCTTGAAGTCCAGCCATGTCGGTTTATTTTCAACAGAGTAATTAAACTAGGAATGCTTATCGATGGCCCTCAAATGAACCCTTGGATGGCTTGCTATCCAGCGAGCCGTTGATAAGTTCTATCCAAATACGTGACAGGGTTTTGCTAAGAGCCAATAGTCTTCTGGCCTCTCCACAGATCGTTAGTGTATGAACTAAGTAACCAGGCCAGTGTTCACGTTATACAGGCGATCAATAGAGAGGTTGATCATCTCGTTTACGTCAAACGGCAAACGCGAATTTGTACCACGTGACCAAGTTTTCCCATTACTTGTCGTTTACTGTTCATTATTTATACACATAAATTAGTAGTTTCACATAATTTTTCATCCATAAGAATTGTTTTGAGCTGTTTTTATCTGCTAATTTTCTATTTTGAGAAAGTCTCAACTTGAATCTGACGTCCGCCGTTTGCCGTATACGCGAAGCTTAAATTCTTTTTGATGTGGTGGTCTCGGTAAAATTCAAGGAAAGAGGTAAGGCAGATTGGAAGTCTGGCTAGCCCTCTCTCTCCCTCTGATTTTGAACAACTCTGATACAAGATATGATTATAAACGATAACACTGAAATACATTCGATACAACTGGCTCATGAACGGCCTATTTAATTTTTACTTACTATTACTTGCCACTCTATGAAAGGCTAATTGTTGAATAGGACCGTTGCTGAGGAGAGTAACGAAAGTATTTTACATTGGTTGCCTGATCGGCCACGCTCAAATCCCTTTTTATTCCCGACTTCCTAGTATCCTTAGTCACGGAAGGTTTTTAATAGCTCAATTTGTGCTGAACTGGACGCAGAATATATTGAAGTTCACGGGTTCAAACTCTCGGACCCGTCCGAACCTAGGGATCATGAACAGGGCCCCTTCATACTCTCTTGCGGCCGAGACTTACTTAGGGTGTTTTTTAATGCGATATAAACTACAGTGAAAATCTGCGACTTAGAACCTAGTTTTTAAGAGCCTTTTACGATAAAGTTTGACAGTCAGACCCCTTCTATACAAGAACCTGTTTGGCCTAAAAGTTGAAACGGGTTGTTATTTTTCAAAATCGTAAATTCTGTACACTCTGGCAAATTGGATAAGTCATCCTTCAGGAACGTCTTTGGAGGAATAGGTGTCTTATTACTCCAACTGCAGTTATTGCAATCTGAAACAGGTATACAGGGTTTACCTAGGGAATTAGCTGAACACCACTTATATTAATGTTCTTAGCTACAATGTTTTTTTTTTTCTTCAGAAAATAAGAACCTATTTAAGAACCTAAAAAGTGTGCTCTTGAGTAAACATTTATCAAAGAATCTGTTAAGGCTAACTTGGGAAAATAAAGGCCCTAGTCGCGGGTTTTTACTGTATTACTCTCTCTCGACTGTTAGTTTACTCTCCTCATTTGCCTCTCCTTTTCTTTTATTCAAGATCTCGACGAGTGTACAGCCAACATTCGTTCATGTAATTCAAATGCGTCTTGTACAAATAACTTGGGATCTTTTACGTGCAACAGCTTTCTTGGATTTTCTGGAGTTAGTCAAAATTGCAGTGGTAATGACATTTCTGGGCTGTGATTTTTAAGGCGGGCTATGTTATGCAATTTGCTAGTTTTGAAAAGCTAAAATCCGTCTTCGCTTCATTTGGTCCAGGTTTCTTTGAAGAGTTTAGGAACTGAATCTGTTTCCTACCGTCTATTGCTAAGGATGACAAGGATAAACATGGACTGAAACCTAAAAAAATTGGGCCAACTTTTTCAAGTTTTCACGCTCAAAAATATTTTGGTTATAGTCCTCCCTGATGAGGCTGGTTTGATATCTTTTTCTTAACTCAAAAGGAACACTTTTTGTATGGGTTAAGGCATTAGAGAGTTTTAGATCTGAGTTTACCGCGAACCTTTAACCACTGGAGGTCACGTGACAAGTCTTTCGCGTCACGTTTGAGGTTTACGACTTGCGTTTTCAACGTGGGGATATGGGTTTTCACGTAGGTCATTTACCTGAAAGATTTTAGCGTATAATTCTTTTTTGTCTCACCTAATGATACAAAAATCTTGTGGTGCAAGTCTTTATCCAATAAAAGAGGCACAAATTCGGGCGAAATGCTAAGTTTGATAAATCCTATTGGATCTTGAAAACAAGTGCCATTCATGGCTGCTGATTCAAAATGGCGGCCGTAAATTTGCAAGAAGAACTAATGTAAGAATTTACAGCTCTTTGCTGCTAGATAACCCAGTGTTACCGTAAATTTCTTGTATTTTCACTGATTGATATTTCTTCTGTTGCTAAATGGAAAAATAAACCAGAATCCACTTCTTTAATCCACCGCCAATCTAAATCGTATTATGTTTGAACGTCGAACCGCAAACGGGTAACCGCTAACCGCGGTCAGAAGTTCGCGGTAAACTCTGATCTAAAACTCTCTATTAAGAAATGACTTCAGCTCAGAATTGACATAAAATAGCAGCATCTCGGTGTTGCTCGATCTTTTTGCCAGAGTTTCGACGGAGAAGCCGAGTTCACCAAAATGTATTTGGAATACATTATTTTATTTCACCAGTCAAAAATATGCTGGAACAACAAGAACTCCGTTGAATTATGGGTAAAGAACTTGTGTTCGGGAGAACATGCGAGGATTCGTGGATACTTCGGAAGTAATCGAAATCAAGCGGGGAATCCCCTTCGGGCCCTGCCCAGGCAACACATTTTTTTAAATCGAAAGTTCATTGTATAGATATTTTTTCATACTTTGTATCATTCTAATGCGAGTCTTTAAAAATTGGAGTCACTTGACTAGGAAGAGAGATGACAAATTGTTTTCAAGATTTAAAGCAAGTTGAAGGTAAAAACAGTGATTTGATCGAGTCTCCACCAGAAAAGATTGGGGAAGCAAACGACGGCGGAATTGGAAAAATAAAGCAAGCAGGAGGCGATGATGCGTACGTTTTCGACGTCGATGCACGAGTCATGCAAATTGGACGCGAAAATGGCATATTTATCGGTTCAATGGACACGATTCCTGCTTCTCTTAGTGGCACAGACGACGAGCGTGAAAATGAACCGACTCTGGAAGAATATTATAAACCAGACGGCTTACTGCGCGTTGGACGAAGTCGATGCGGCTTCCCTGATCGCAAAAACGACCACTTGGTCCAGCTCCTAGTCTGCAAGAATCAAAACACGAGAGAAACACTGGACATTTCTGAGAATTACGAAATAACAGTGACAGTTGCTCGAGATGCTGGCCAAGGTAGTGATCCTGTCGACTGCGACTACATGCGTATCAAAACTGAAACCAAAAATGGCTTGAAACGATCCATGGCAGGAGTTGCTGGGTTTTACTTCCGCTTTTATGAACCAAACACCAAGTACTTGGTCACTTTCGCTCTGAAAACCGGTCCAACGACGAAGAAGAGTGAAAAGAAACGTAAAAAACAACAAAGCTTGAGGAAAACGGTGAGCGAGATCACAATCCAACTGGAAACGGGGTCGAAACAGTGTAACTCACGGAAGCAAAGAAGAGCGCTGGCAACAAGAAATGCAACCCCACAGTCTGCGTTGGAACCTGCCTCGCTTACTGAAGAAGGTATGGAGCTCTTGAGGCGATCTATGTGGGTGATGAAAGAGTTACAATCGCTTCGTGACAATGCGAGGTGGAGCGATTTCGATGATCGCGCAAGTAAACTTTTGCTATCATATACAGATATTGACACAATTGTTGCCATTAAATTAGAGCAGAGCGTGGCGGCCTGTTACAAGAACGATTTGGAACGCTCCTTACAGCTAATAGACGAGTCCTTCGGTCTCATGTCGGGAGCCACTAACGTCCGAGTTTTAGCTGGAAGGGGCTACGGCTACCGCGCTGGTGTCAAGAGACGTCAGCGGAGCCTTGGCGAAGCTCAACGGGACGTTCAGCTGGCTGAGCAAAACATTCGCGCGTGTCACACGAGCCTTGATGCGAGCTTCATTGCTTACGAGAGAGCGAACGTGTTGTTAGATTTCATCGGCCGCCTGTCTCAGCGGAGCCCTAAACAAGTCGAGGAGGCTTTACGTAATTTCGAAAAGTGTATCGATGTTTGTTTGAGCGTTGAAATGCAAGATGAGGAATTGTATGTGAAGAAACATCACTTTGCTTTCATAAAATCTGCAATGCTTTTGCTCGATTGCCGCACAGAGGCCGCGCGTGAACGCGTTCTGAGCGAAGAGTTCATCGCAAAAGGCGAGAGGTGTCTAAAGACGCTAGAAACCAAATACTGGTCAAAGATCGCAGAAGGAGTAAAAGTTCAGTTCTACCTGGCAAGCTCAGACTTAGAATACCGAAAGAGAAACTTTCAAAACGCTGAAAATTTTGCCAGTTTAGCGAAGGACAGAGCTGTATGTCTGGGTTTCAACACGGAAATTTCCCTCGCACAAGAACGACTGGATCACATGCGTGTCGTCACGCGTGGAACTCATAATGCCAGGCCTTCGTGCGAGGCCAGTGGTGCGAGTGCTAGTGAGGGAGAATATGCCGATGTCAGCTCCGATATTAGCTTATCAGGTTCTGAATCGGATTGGCAAAAGAATTTGAAGCCTACTGATTAGTGACCAGTCACACAATGCTCGTTTACCTGACAGTACTAAATAAACCATCGCCAACCAAAACGATGGGAGAGATCAGTATTGGAATACATCATGTGCGTAGTACTTGACTCTAGTTGACTCTAGTACTTGACTCTAGTCTAGTTTCCTGTCAGAGGTAAATATTTACAATGGTGCATCTGTCTCAACAGTTGTTAAACTTTTTGATTCCCTTGTGAGCCCAATCCTATTGTACAACTGTGAAATTTGGGGTTGTTTTTTTTATTATCAGTCGGGAATAACTATGAAAAATTTGTCTCGAGAATTTTTGATGAACGAATAACACCCGAGAACATGCATAACAAGGTATGCAAAATGGCCTTAGGGGTTCACTTTAAAGCAAGTAACCATGCTGTGAAGGGAGAACTCGGACGTTTTCCTCTTCATCTTATTATTTACACTAGAATTTTTAAGTACTTCTTAAGATTACTTACCTTACAAAATAACCAAATTTTAAATAGCGCCCTAGAGATAAACAGCCATTTAAATAATGTAGGTAAGCCAGGGGCGGATCCAGGATTTTTTTTAGGAGGGGGTGCACTCGTCTCTTGCTCTACTTCAACACCAATAAACCACATAGTTTTTTTTTTTTGGCAGAATACCAGTTGTATTAGAAAACCGCAGGTCATCTCAGGGGGGGGGGGGGGGCACACCCCCTGCCCCCCCCCCTACTAGATCTGCCCCTGTAAGCATTCATGGTTCACTACTGTAAGACACCTATTATACTTTACCAACTTAAATGATTATACCCCAAATCTGCCACATCTTGACTATACGACATTTCCTCACTTGGTTAGAGTGTTTAAGAGAAATTTGTTTAAAGAATACCAAGAATATTGGTCGAAAGTCTGAACAAGGATAAATTCGACTCGTCAGTTGGCAATAAATTAATTCTGTAAAGGAAGTGAAAAACGAAGTCAGATTTGAATCTTATCTTGATTTAATAAAGAATGTTAAGACAAGAGTGGCAGTAACCAAAATGTGAATTTCTTGCCACTTGCTACCTATTGAATCTGGGCACTACAAGAAGATACCCAGAGTTGAGAGGCTTTGCCCCCTTTGTAATAGATCCGAAATTGGTGATGAATTCCACTATTTGTTGAAATGTACCCACTCATCACTTTCTCATATAAGGGGTATCTTCTTGGAGAGCCTATACTCGATAAACAGTAATTTTACGAATATGTCTTGCGAGGCACTATTTTTATACATCATGTCTATGTGCGATGAAAACATCTTAAATCTCAGTGCCTCTTATATTGAAAATATTCTAAATTGTTATGTTTCTGAACTCTAATTGAATTTTCTTACCGTATGAGTAGCGTAGAAGCCGTACATAGCCAAGTAATTTTTTTCTTTTATGATAATATTCAATTGTTCCTTTCTTTCTTACTTAACTTTTATTTTACTTTTTTTTCATTTGTTATTGTTTTGGTACTGAAATCTTCATGTCGAAGATAAAGTCAATAAAGTTGTTGTTGTTGTAGTAAAAAAAATCAATTATGACTGTAGAGCGAACAATCAATAAAACATTAATGATTTAGCAATGCTGAGTCAATAATTGCGATACGTTGTACTTGCTTGATTGAAATCAATGTCTTCAATTACAATCAATAATTTTCCATACCAGGAGCTTGTTATTAATTGATCAAACAGAAGCCGCGGATAAGTTTTGATAATCGAGGTCTTTTTAGGGAACAGTTATTACTGTTCTGTTTTCGCGCATTAATAAAGGCCAAAAGTTTTTTTGACTTTTCCAGTGAGATTGGTAACTAAAGACCTCCCCCTCCCAGCCCAAACAATGTTGAATTTTGACTAAAATGGGCGTAAATGAGTCCTTTTTGGGCACATCATTGCTGAGAGGAGTAGGGAGGGCGGGAGCCTGAAGGGACGAATCAAAGCCATATGCCATAGATATTCTTATCAATTATTTTGGCTAATCAGTTGACAGCTGTTGAGTTAAGTATTTGATCGAACTAGCCTGAATCATTAAAATGAATAAATAATGAGTAAGACATTGGTAAAAGGGACGACACATTTTCAGTATATTCACAACTGATCATGAAACAGGGTTTAAAATAACAATAAAACAACGTACGTAAGAGGGAAACTCTAGAAATTCAGTCAGAAGTAACTTCTGGGACATTCTAGGTATATATATAGGTCTTGACAAGTCATGTATCAAACATGACCTTTCGAGTGCTTTGGGTGGCTGACGAATGTCACGACTAATGCATGACTGATTCAGTCGCGTAAAACAGATTTTGTCCAAAACAAATCAACTTTAAGTAAGATGTTCTGCTACTGCCGTGCTGAAGACGAACCATTAATTCGGTCTAATGACCGCGCGAAGTTCGGTCAGAAGAGAAACCAATACTTAGGATGGAAGGCGCGTTGCATTTGCTTGAAACTCGAATCTCTAAATAAATGCAAATGAGCGAGAAAAATAGATTTTCGTCATTACCATGGAATTCATCACAATCGGCCTTTTTTAAAGCAAAAACGACGGTGATGGCAGCGATCGCGTCACCTAAAACATAGTTTTCCGCGCATTGAAACCTCATTTCCCTTCATTTTATCTCGTAATCTGTCAAATGTTGGTGAATTTTCCTAGCCGGTGGAATTCGCAAGTATCGCATCCCGAAGCTCAGAAAAAGAAAATGAAAATCTTCGTACGGTCTCGTGTTTACGTTCTCCATAAAACATAAAGGCAGAAGTCGAAAGACACATTCACACCAAAGCTTAAACATATTTAAACGAGAAAAAGAGTTTATAAGCCTGCTTGCAAGTTACTGTTATATTGGGTATCAAACTAATAAATTTTAAATGCGATGTATTGGCGTGACATTTCGCTCTATCGTCAGTTTTTCATAATGTTGGGTAACATATTTACAGAAAAATAGGGATTTATTAAATGTAAATTTATCAGTGTGAAGGGGGCCTGACGGGCACGAGTAGATTGTAATAGTAAATGTATTAATCTAGCCGTCTAGCTCCATCTGAAAGCCCTTGGACTGAACTTTCGAATCATGTTTCGAATGCGTCGCGACAAGGGAGATGGCCTGAGTGCGGTTTTCAATTTGGCTTCGCGCGTAGCCTGAGATCATGCCCTCTCCCTATTATCCCTTTATGTCTCTCACGGGAAGAGGGCATGATACATTTCTTTGTCGGATCACATGTAAAAAAGCCAGAATCTGGACTTTTTTCTGATTGGATAGGAAACAATACGGATGATTTGCGCTGTTCCGATTGGCCAAAATGCCGCCATCCGTTAGTTGTTGTTGATTTCAGTCTGCATTTTTGCTTGCGTAATGAGCAGTGAATACACTCGCGAGTTCGTTATGAAATTTCTGCCGGCTCAGTTTTCTTGAATTTGAAGAATGCCTAAATAGAAGTTTCATCCATTGAAATATTTTCCATCTCATCGTATACTAAAACAGTTGCAGTCAAAACTTCACCGATCATTTGAATGCAATTTGATACCGGCTACAAGTTACAGAAGCGACAAACAGGTTCACTTTTCAAATAATCAATTCATGAATGGAATCTTGACCTGGTTTGACTGTAATTCCTCCTTCAGAAATCATGCTGCGAATTATTCTGAGCGACCTTCGTTTTCACAACACCTTTCAGTTCGTGAAATATGGTGCTTCAGCCTAATTTTTTTTCACTGCTTTCGGCAGAGAACGAAGTCAACGAGCTTTAATTATAACCAGTAAATTCTTTATTATTTGTAGCTGTTAAATAAAGGTACGGCAGCTTCAGCTAGCAGTATTTCATCAGAAAATTTTTTATTAAGAAGCGCCATCTGAACATGGACGTATTTAAAAATTTTCTTTTCCCTAAAATTGATTTCAAAAGAGACATTATTCGCGCCAAAATTTGATTCCCGTATGGTAAACGCTTATTGGCTAATAACATGACAGGTCAAGCAGACGTTAAATTATGTAAATTAGGGGGCGGTTGACTGCTTGTTAAATAAATGTATCAGGCGTTATTTTTTTTCCCTCTCGAGCCAAAGAAGCAAAGAAGCAAAAAAAAGAGAAAAAAACGCCTGATCTCAGGTTACTTCGCGCGCGACCGGGGAGTCCCCGACAGTACATACGTGACGTCATTCAAGAGTTAAAATACAAAGAGAGCTGTGTAAGAGAGTAAAGCGCCAAACAGAAGTCAAGCTCGTATGCATTGGAAACAATTAAGGACTTCTAAGCCGTCGAAAACAAATTATTGTCTTTCAATTGAAATAAGGAAACGAAAAAGAGCGAAATACAAGGTTTGTATACGTGTTTTAAACGGACAGACTAGCTATTGCGTAGTTAGAAATGTCGTTTCGACAAGGTGGACGAAGGACTGAGGTTCCAGCAGCCCTCCGAAAAAGGAAAATAAGCGGGAAGATTGTCGAAGTTTTACTTCCAAAACACAACACGATGAAACCTCAACAAGGACATATCATCGTCCAAGCCAAAACTGTTTGTTTACAAATGGGAGATTATAACAACTTTCATTTTGATGTCGTTGACCTCGGCATGTCCGATGATGTTTCCGAACTGCTCACGAAAGTATCCGACGACGATGAATTGGTTATTCGTGTCTTACGGAGATATGGTGAACCTGAAGAATTTATCTTGCAAAGAGATGCAAGCGTGATTTGTCCATCGATTAACATTTGTGCAGACTTTTCAGGATTATTCCACCATCAGATGAAAAGCCTGATATAGACTCTTCCTTTGGGATTACAGTTGACTCTCAAATCCACACCAGCGATGCTCAGATCGGAGACTGGAATAAAGTTGTTATTAATCCCCGAGAGGGATTTTGCGATGTGTTTGACAGTACTCGGCCAATCCTTCGTGTGCTACGGTGGCCTCCGAAGTTTGTTTCAGTTTCTTTCCAAACTTCAAGAGGGATCATCGGGTAGTGCTTAAAATTTGCAAGAATCGCTTTGATGGCCGAGCTTTTGAATA